CTTCAATGCTCTGACATAGAAGAACATCCACAAGCATCAAGAATATTCAGTAAAACATGACCTCACCAAACTAAGTAAGGCACCAGTGACCAATTTCAGACTGATGTAGATATGTGATTTTTAGACAGAGAATTAAAAATAGATGTCTCGAAGAAGTTTGGCAAACTTCAAGATAATACAAGAAGGAATTCAGAATTCTATCAGAAAAGTTTACCAAAGAGATTGAAATAATTTAATAAATCTAATAAGAAATTCTGGAGCTGAAAAATTTAATTGGTGAACTGAAAAATCGTTAGTCTTTGTACAGCAGAATTGATCGAGCAGAAGAGTTAGTGAACTTGTAGACAGGCTATATGAAAATATACTGAAAGAGGAGAAAAAAAATTTTGAAAAAGAATTTAAAATACCTACATGATCTAGAAAATAGCCTCAAAAGAGCAAGAGTAAGAGTTATTGACCTAGCTAGGTATACTTGTAATCCTAAAACTTTGGGAGGCTAAAGTAGGAGCATTGCCTGAGACCAGGAATTTGAAACCAGCCACAGAGTGAGAACTTGTCTCTATAAAAAAAAAAAAGTTAAAAATTAGGCACAGTGACACACACCTGTATTCCCAGGAGTTTGTAGCAGGGGAAGCACTTGAGCCCAGGCGTTTGAGGTTGTAGTGAGCTATGATCATGCCTCTGCATAGTAGCCCCGGTGACAGAGCAAGGCCCTATTTCAAAAAAACCCAAAAAACCCCAAAAGGGTTACTGGCCTTAAAGAGGAGATGGAGAGATTGCTGTTGGAAGAAAAATTTTTCAAAGAAATAATAACAGAAAACTTTCAAACTTAGACAAAGATATCACTATCCAGTTCCAAAGTCTTAGAACACCCAGAAAAATTAATTCAAACAAGACTACCTCAAGGAATTTAATAATCAAGCTCTCAAAGGTCACAGATAAAGAAAAGGTCCTAAAAGAAGCAAGTAAAAAGAAAAAAAATAACATATAAAGGAGCTCCAATACATCTAGCAGCACAATTCTCAGTAGAAACCTTGTAGGCTAGGAGAGAATGGAACACCATATTCAAAGTACTGAGGGAAAAAAAAGATTTCCATACTACAATACCATATCCAGCAAAAGTATCCTAGATACATGAAGGAGAAATAAATAGTTTCGCAAATAGAAAGTGAGAGATTCCACAAACACCAGAAGAAATACTAAAGGTAGTTATTCAATCTGGGGAAAAAAAGGATATTAACAAACAAGAAATCATTTGAATAACTCACTGGTAATGGTAAGTAAACAGACAAGTGAAGAATACTCTAGCACTGAAATCTTGAGTAAGAAGGCTAAAAGACAAACCTATTAAAAAACTAAAATAATTTTTAAAGAGGTA